GGCAAGAAAAATAAATATAAGGCATCGAGACTGGAAAGATGACATAAAACTATCTTTACTTGCAGACAACATGATCACATAGACAATCCTAAGAATCTATGAAATTGTTATTAGAACTAATAAATTTAGCAAAGTTATAAGGCACAAAGACAAAATTCAATTCTGGTTTAACAGAGTAGCAGAGCATAATCAGGAAATTTACAATAGCATCAAAATATACAGGAATAAACTCAGTGAACAATTTCAATAATTGTACACTGAAAACAATAAAACAGTGCAAAGAAAACCAAATGCTTATGAACTGCAAGCCTCAATGTTGTTAAGCTGGCCCAAACTGATGTATCGATTGAGGTAAACCCTACCAAAATTCTAGCACCTACTTTGAAGAAACTGAGAAGCTGATGCTAAAATTAATTAGTAAAGGAAAAGACCTAGAATAGCCAAAACTGTTTTGAAAAAAAAAAGTTAAAGAATTTATATTACCTGATTTCAAGAATTATTAAAGCTACAGTAATCAAGCCAATATAGTATTAGCATAAGGATAAACATATATAGATCAGTGGTACAGAACAAAAACTCCAATAATAGACCCTAGCACTTTATGGTCAATTGATTTTTGACCAAGGTGTCATGGTAATTCAATGGGGGAGAAAGACAGTCTTTTCTACAAATGGTGTTAGAACAAGTGGATAACTGTAAGCCTTGACCCTTAACTCACAACATTCACAAAAATGAATACCAAATGGATCACAGGCCTCAACATAATAGCTGAAACTATTAAACTTATAGAAATCATAGAAGTCTTCATAGCATTAGGTTAGTAAAGATTTCATAAACACAAAAACCTCAAGCCATAAAGAAAAAAGTGAAAAAGTAGACCATCAAAATTAAAAACTTTTCACCTTTGAAAAACAGTTAAGAAGATAAACCATAGACTGGGAGAAAATATTTGTAAAATATATATGTGAAAAAGAGATTGTATACAGAATATAGAGCATATAAAGCACTCTTACAATTCCATAACACATACAAAAGAGCCAACAATTCAATTTAAAAATGGGCAACAGACTTCTCACAAAATAAGAAATACGGGTGGCAAAAAAGAATAGAAAAGATGTTTAACATCATTAGGGAAATGCAAATTATAACCACAACGAGACAACACTAGACACCAAGTAGAGTGCCTAAAGAAAACAGATAGCAAACCATGGCAAGGATGCAGAGTAAGTGAAACTCTCATACAGTGTTAATGGGAATGAAAAATGATACATCCACTTCATAAAACTGTTTAGTAGTATCTTACAACATTAAACATGCATTTACCATATGATCTAGCACTCATCTTAGGTACCTATCCAAAAGAAATGCAAATTTCTTCTACAAAGACTTGTCTAAAAATGTTAATAACATCATTATTTGCAAAAGCCAAAAACTGGAAGTGTAATTCAAAGTCCATCAGCTGGTGAATGGATAATGGTAAGGCCATACTATGGAATACTATGTAACAACAAAAAGAAACAAAATATGCACAACATATTTGAATCTCTAAAACATATGCTAAGCAAAAAGGGAAAAAAGATATTTGCAACTCTGATCATAGACAAGGGGCTCACTTTCAAACTGTAAAAAGCTCTTAGAAATCAAGGAGAAAAAAACGACCAACAACCCAATAGAAAAATGGCAAAGGAAATGAACTGTTCATTGACCAAAAAACAAGATCAAATGGCTCTTATCTAAATTTAAACAATGCACACCTCACTGACAAGAGAAATGCAAAAGTTAAATTATACTGAGAAACCGTTTGTCACACACAGGACTGCCAAGAATTCAAAGAAATACCTAATGTAGATGACAGGTTGACGGGTGCAGCAAACCACCATGGCACATGTATACCTATGTAACAAACCTGCACGTTCTGCACATGTATCCCAGAACTTAAAGTATAATAAAAAAAAATTGTCCTATGAAGGATACATGGAAATCATCTCATACATTTCTAGTGGACAAGTAAATGGTATACTCCTTACAGAAAACAACTGGACAACATTTGCAAAATTACAAATACATTAAACTTCCACCCAACAGCAATTCCACTAGGAGAAATTTATAAATTCATATATACATGAAATGACATGTACAAGGTTTATCTGTATAGGAATACTTTTAATAGGAAAAGATTGTAAATCACTCAAATCATTGTCAACAGTGGATGGAATGGTTAAATAATGATATATTCAAAATGTAAAATATTATGTATATATCTATAAAAAATAAGAGTTCTCTCTATATCAGAAAATATTCATTAAACACTTTAAATGAAAAAAGCAAGAAGTAGAGCAGTGAGTATGGTATGCTGTATTCTATGCAAATAAGAGAGGTAAGAATTTACATATTCATAACTGTTTGCATATGCACATACAAACTTTGGAAAGACATGCAAAACTATAAGAATAACTACTTGCTAGAGTGAAGAAAGGGAGGACAGAGTAGTGGAACAGAACACATTTTATTTTTTTTTAATTTTTGCACAATGAAATACATTACCTCTTCAAAAAACATTTTGTGAATTAATCAAAATCAAGTTTGATACGAAAATAAAAATATCACACTAAAATGATATGCAGCAGTCACAAACTTGGCGGTGATATTTACAATTCAAAAACCTAAATGATTAATGTCAAAATACATAAAAGACTCCTAAAAATCAGTGAAAGAAAGAGATCCAGTGGTGAGGTGGAAATGAACAAAAGAGATGGACATACACTTCACTGATGATGACACAACAATCAATAAACATGAAACAATACTGAACTTAATAATCAGCAGAGTGAAAAGTAAACCCATGAGGTATATTATTCTCAACTAGATCATTAAAAATGTAGGTATAATAATATGAGCTGCTGGCAAGAATCTAGGTCCAGGTCAGCAAACTACAGTCTATAAGACAGCCTCCTGTTTTTGTAAATAAAACTTTACTGAAACACAGACACAAGTACGGTCTATGGCTGCTTCCTAGCTACAAAGGCAGACTTGAGTAGTTGTGACGGAGACCTAAAACATTTACAATTTGGCACTTTAAGAAAAAATTTGCCACTTCCTGATAGAGATAGATGGGAACACCTAAACACTATTGGTAGGATGTCAAGTAGTACAATCACTTTGTAAAACAGTTTAACAGTACCTACTAAAGCTGAATATGTAATGGATATACACAACAATTGTTATAGGAGCACTGATTTTATTAGCAAAAACCAGAAAACAAATACCTATTAACAAGAGAATGCACAAATAAACTGAGGTACATTCAAACAACGTAACAGTGCATGGCACTGAAAATGAAGCAACTATAGCTATATGCATCAATATGAGCTGTCATAAATAAAATACTGAGAAATGATAAGAATAAAGTTGTCAAAGAAAAAATATAGTATGATTCCATTTGTATAAAGTTGAGAAATATGCAGTATCATGTATTATTTTCAGAATGCATACACGTGGTAAAACTGAAGTAAAGGCATGAATTGATAAACACAAAATTCAAGATTGTTAAGTATTTTCTGCTGATAGGAAAGAGGACAGATTTGGAAAGAGGAACAAAAAATGCTGCAAAGGTATTGGCAATGATCTAATCTTTTTTTGTTGTTATTGTTGTTGTTGAGATGGAGTCTCGCTCTGTTGCCCAGGCTGGAGTGCAGTGGCCGGATCTCAGCTCACTGCAAGCTCCGCCTCCCGGGTTCACGCTATTCTCCTGCCTCGGCCTCCCAAGTAGCTGGGACCACAGGCGCCCGCCACCTCACCCGGCTAGTTTTTTGTATTTTTTTAGTAGAGACGGGGTTTCACTGTGTTAGCCAGGATGGTCTCCATCTCCTGACCTCGTGATCCGCCCGTCTCGGCCTCCCAAAGTGCTGGGATTACAGGCTTAAGCCACCATGCCCGGCCCAATGATCTAATTTTTAAGCGAGGTAATGGTGTCTGTAGTTACTGCTATTCTGTATGTCTCAATATATACAAATATCCTTTAATATGAATTTGATATTTAATAACTTTCAAAACTCTTCTAGAAGAATAAGTCAATAATGAAGAGACTAAATGCTGCAAAAGTGTTAGTTCTCCCCCATTTAATTTACAAATAAGATCCCAATAAAAGAAAAAGCACACTGAAGTAGAGAAGATTATCTCACACTAGCCCCTCAGCAGTACTGTGTGACTTAATGCAAGATGGACAGATAATAAACAAAAGGCATTTTTAAAAAACATTATTCAAATATGAAGGATAATCTTCTAAAAAAAATTTTTAAAGTTAAAATGGGAAATCACTGGAAGTAAATTTGATTATGATCCCTTACTAAACTCACTTTCCAATACAAGATATACAAATACGAAAAACAACTTCAGAACTATAAAGTGCTTTCTCCTAGAAATTTCCATTCCCATAGTGCATCTTATCAACAAAATCGGAAAAACGTATTTATTTTTACTCCTTATGTTCTTAAAATGACCTAAAAGGATATACAGAAATAAATACCTCCTCCAACAAGAAAGGATTAAAAACAAAATAAAGAAGAAATTGAAGAATAAAATTAATAGTAAAGCCATAATGAAGGCTAATACATAAAAGCAAAATCATAATGATATATTATATATTTTTTTTGGCTGAAATTGGGTTCTGAGTTTGCAATCAAGTACCGCAAAGAAGAAAACATAACCAGTTACGATAGTTATGTTCATAAACTATCTGCTCAAGGGCCATTATCAATTTTTCTTGATATTGATTCCAGAGAGACATATATCCTATGAATTTTACAGAGGAAAACTGAAAGAAAAAAAATCAACCAACAAATTACCAATATACATAGGAGTTTAATAAAATGAACGGTTTATTAGGGGACCAGGAATTGAGGAAAATACATAAAAATAATTTGCAGTAAAACTATTAAAGTGATTATTGATGTTACTTAATATTCAACATAATACTCAGTAATCATATTAAGTTTACTGACCTTCCTGAATGGTGATGTCCACAGTTACACCAGAAGATGGATGCAGAAGTTTTTGGTAATTCTGTGCATTTTGGTCGAATAACTGCACAAGAAGAGCACATGTCTTTTCATATTCACATCTGCTGACAGTGCACAACTGCTCCAACTGCTGAAACACAGTGGCAGTATCATCCAGTGGATCATCTAAGTGATCTCTGCAAACACAGAATAAGTTTGCAGACAGCATTAGAATGTGAAGGACTTTTATTCACCACAAGTAAACTTTATGTTAAATAAAAATTCTATAATAAAGGAATAAAAGACAGAGGCAGGAGGATCACCTGGGGCCAGGAGTTTGAGAACAGCCAGGCCAACATAGTGAAATCCCGACTCTAAAAATACAAAAATTAGCTGGGCATGGTGGCACACACCTGTAATCCCAGCTACGCAGCAGGCTGAGGCATGAGAACTGCTTGAACTTGGGAGGCGGAGGTTGCAGTAAGCTAAGATCACGCCACTGCACTCCAGCTGGGGTGACAGAGCGAGACTCTGTCTCTAAAAAAAACCAATAAGAAATAAAAAATGAAATGTATTAGTAGGTAAAAAATAAAACTGTCTATATCTCAAGATGGCATGATTATGTAAACAGAAAATATTTTTAGAAACACAAAAATGCTATTCAAACTAATAAGTAAGTTTACTAAGGTCATAGCATGCAAGGTCAACGTACAAAATGATGGGTATTAGTATATATTGGCAGTGAACAACCAGAAATTGAAATTTAAAAAACGGTAGGCAATAGGAAACATAAACTATCAATTAAATCTACCTAAACGTATGCAAGATCTTTAGGCTACAAACCATAAAACGTTTGATGAAAGAAATCAGAGAAGAGCTAAATAAAAGACAGACACGCTCAGAGACTAAGCGACTCAATATTGTTGAGATGTCAATTCTTTCCCCAAGTTAATCTATAGTTTCAATGCAATCCCAGTCAAAATCCCAGAAGAACTTCTTTGTAGAAACTGAGAAACTGATTCAAACATATATACGAAAAAGCAAAGAAAGGAGAATTGCGAAAACAATTTTGAAAGAGAAAAGCCACTTACAGAACTCATACTATCTGGTTTCAAAGCTTATTATAAATCTAATCAAGACAGGGTACTGGTGAAAAAACAGACACATAGATTAATGAAGACAGAGTCCAGAAATAGAACTACATGTATGTGGTATATTAATTTCTGACAAAAGCATAAAAACAATTCAATGAAGAAAGGATAGTTTACTACACAAACGATGTTGAAATAACTGGTCAGCTATATGCCAAAAAAAAAAGAAAAAAGAAAGAACTAGCCTTATATCAGCTAATACACAAAAATTAGCCTGAAAGAGATCACAGACTAAAATGTAAATTCTAAGAGAAAATAAAAGAAAATCTCTGTGACACTGGGTTAGTTTCCATAGGTACAACAACTAAAACATAACACTTAAAAGAAAAAATAAAGCACTGGACTTCGTCAAAACTTAAAAATTCTGCTCTTCTAAAGACTCTGTTAAGAAAATGAAAAGGGAGAGGGCTTCCAAGATGGCCAAATAGGAACAGCTCCGGTCTGCAGCTCCCAGCGAGACTGATGCAGAAGATGGGTGATTTCTGCATTTCCAACTGAGGTACCTGGTTCATCTCACTGGGACTGGCTGGACAGTGGGTGCAGCCCACGGAGGGCAAGCTGAAGCAGGGCAGGGCGTCGCCTCATCCAGGAAGTGCAAGGGGTAGGGGGATTTCTCTTTCCTAGCAAAGGGAAGCTGTGACAGACTGTATCTGCAGAAACAGTACACTTCTGACCAAATGCTGTGCTTTTCTCACGGTCTTAGCAATCCGCAGACCAGGGGATATCCTCCCATGCCTGGCTAGGCGGGTCCCACGTGCACGGAGCCTTGCTCACTGCTAGTGCGACAGTCTGAGATCGAACTGCAACACTGCAGCTTGATGGGGGGAGGGGCATTTGCCATTGCTGAGGCTTGAGTAGCTCACAAGTGTAAACAAAGCATAGACTGGGCGAAGCCCATTGCAACTCAGCAAGGCTTATTGCCTCTACAGATTTCACCTCTGGGGCAGGGCATTGCAGAACAAAAGGCAGCAGATAGCTTCTGCAGACTTTAACGTCTCTGTCTGACAGCTCTGAAGAGAGCAGTGGTTCTCTCAGCACAGCGTTCGAGCTTTGAGAACGAACACACTGCCTCCTTAAGCAGGTCCCTGACTCCCGTGTAGCCTGACTGGGAAACACCTCCCAGTAGGGGCCGACAGACACCTCAAACAGGCAGATGACCCTCTAGGACAAAGCTTCCAGAGGAAGGATCAGGCAGCAATATTTGCTGTTCTGCAGCCTCCACTGGTGATGCCCAGGCAAACAGGGTCTGGAGTGGAACTCCAGCAAACTCCAACAGACCTGCAGCTGAGGGGTCTGTTAGAAGGAAAACTAACAAACAGAGAGGAATAGCAACAACATCAACAAAAAGGACATCCATACAGAAACCCCATCTGTAGGTCACCAACATCAAAGACCAAAGGTAGATAAAACCACAAAGATGGGGCGAAACCAGAGCAGAAAAGCTGAAAATTCCAAAAAACAGAGTGCTTCTTCTCCTCCAAAGGATTGCAGCTCCTCACAAGCAACGGAACAAAAGTGAACGGAGACTGAGTTTGACATGTTGACAGAAGTAGGTTTCAGAAGGTCAGTAATAACCAACTTCTCGAGCTAAAGGAGCATGTTCTAAACCAATGCAAGGAAGCTATGAACCTTGATAAAACATTCCATGCTCATGAATAGGAAGAATCAATATTGTGAAAATGGCCATAACACTCAAGGTAATTTATAGATTCAATGTTATCCCCATCAAGCTACCACTGACTTTCTTCACAAAATTGGAAAAAACTACTTTAAAGTTCATATGGAACCAAAAAAGAGCCCGCATAGCCAAGACAATCCTAAGCAAAAAGAACAAAGCTGGAGGCATCATGCTACCTGACTTCAAACTATACTACAAGGCTACAGTAACCAAAACAGCATGGTACTGGTACCAAAACAGAGATATAGACCAATGGAACAGAACAGAGTCCTCAGAAATAACACTACACATCTACAACCACCTGATCTTTGACAAACCTGACAAAAACAAGCAATGAGGAAAGGATTCCCTATTTAATAAATGGTGCTGGGAAAACTGGCTAGTTATACATAGAAAGCTAAAACTGGATCCCTCCTTACACCTTATACAAAAATTAACTCAAGATGCATTAAAGACTTAAATGTAAGACCTAAAACAATAAAAACCCTAGAAGAAAACCTAGGCAATACCACTCAGGACATAGGCATGGGCAAAGACTTCATGATTAAAATACCAAAAGTAATGGCAACAAAAGCCAAAATAGACAAATGGGATCTAATTAAACTAAAGAGCTTCGGCACAGCAAAATAAACTATCATCAGAGTGAACGGGCAACCTACAGAATGGGAGAAAATCTTTGCAATCTACCCATCTGACAAAGGGCTAATATCCAGAATCTACAAAGAACCCAAACAAATTTACAAGAAAAAAACAAACAACCCCATCAAAAAGTGGGCAAAGAATATGAACAGACACTTCTCAAAAGAAGACATTTATGCAGCCAACAGACATATGAAAAAATGCTCATCATCACTGGTCATCAGAGAAATGTGAGATAACATCTCATGCCAGTTAGAATGGTGATCATTAAAAAGTCAGGAAACAACAGATGCTGGAGAGGATGTGGAGAAATAGGAACACTTTTACACTGCTGGTGGGAGTGTAAATTACTTCAACCATTGTGGAAGACAGTGTGGCAAGACATTGTGCACATGTACCCTAGAACTTAAAAGTGTAATAATAAAAAAAAGAAAATGAAAAGGTAAACAACAGAGAAAATATTTGCAAACACATAACAGAAAGACTTGTGAAGAAAATATACGGAGTGCTCAAATCTTAATATAAGAAAATATACAACCTAATTAAAAAATGGGAAAAGGGTTTGACTAGCACATTACCAATGAATACATACAGATGGCAAATAAGTGCATGAAAATATGCTCAATATTATTAGTCATTAAGGGAAAACCACAATAAGGTACCACTACACACCCATCAGAATAAGTACAATTTTTTCAAACTAACAATATCAACTGCTAGTGAGAACACAGAACAACTGAGTCTTTCATACATTGCGAGCAGGAATGCAAAATAGTACAGCCACTTTGGAAAATAGTTTGGCAGCTTCTTATGAAGTAAAATACATGCTTAACATGCATCCCAGGAATCCCACACCTAGGTATTTACCCAGGAGAAACAAAAACTTATGTTCATACAAAATCTGTGCAGGAGTATTTACACAGTTTTATTTACAACTGCCAAAAACATAAACAACTCAAATGTCCAGCAACAGGTGAATTGGTAAACAAACTGATATATCCACAAAATGGAATACTGCTCAGCAATGAAAGGAAAGCACTAACACAACACAGAGGAATCTCAAATGCATTATGCTAAGTGGAAAAAAATCAGACTAAAAAGCTGCATACTGTATAATTTCATTTATAAAACATTCTGGAAAAGGCAAAAAAAAAAAAAAAAAATCACAGGGACACAAAACAGATCAGTAACTGCCAGAGATGAGGGTGAGGAGAGGGGCTGACTGAAAAGGGAGCCAAAATAACTTTCTGGGTTGATGGAACTATTCTATATCTTGATTGTGATGGTAGTTATACAACTGTGTGCACTTGTCAGAAATCATACAACTGTACACTAAAAAGGGTGAATTTTAAATTTATACCTTTATCTTAAAAAATTCCAAGTATCTAAAGGAAATACAACAAAAACATTTAGTTTTTGAATACCTCACAACTATGGCAACAGATTCCAACCGAGAAGTGATAAAGGCCTTCGTGATTTCTGGTGCATAAGTGTCTAATAGATGGGGTTCAGTTGATTTCACAAAAGGAACAGATGCTACCATCCTTTGCCACAGAGTTAATAAATAATGAACACTGTTAGGAGCAAATTCCCAATGCTACAAAGAAATAAAACAGAAGTTATTTAAAATATTACATCTTCCTACAACAAGAATTACAGAACAAAGTTACTAAACATACCTTTTTAAATTAACTTTTATTCTTATCATATAACTAATGAACACTTAATATAGTAAATTTGTAAATGCAAAACAGTATAAAGAAACCAACAACTCTATTATTTTACCACCCGGAGTAACATTAAAATATGACTCTACTTCCCTCTAATCATTCCATGAATATTTTTCAGAGTTGATATCATGTGAAAAATATGGTTTCATAACCTCTCCCTTAAACTTATAAAGAAAACTTTTCTATAGTATAATCTGCAAAAATTTTATTTCTTCACATAGATTTTATTATAGTTTCTCAAGCCATTCTTCAATTATTAGATATTTAAGTAGCTTCTCAATTTTTATTATATACATTGCAATGAACTTTTTAACCTAAAACTCTGCAATTAACATTTCCAGCAAAGTAATCAAATTCATAGATACTTTTAAAATACCCCCACCAACCCTTACCAGGAAGTTTTTTAAAACTGGCTACAGTTTAATATAATTACATATTTTTACCTACCTGTAGGCTAGTAATGGTAAAATTAGCAATCAATCTAATAACTTCAGGATATTCCTTCACCATAACTAATTCTCCCAGCTGATAATTTGTCTTTAAGCGAGCCAAAAATCGACAAAATTCATGATAATTACCTGGATCAGACAAACCCTAAATTATGAGACAAAAAGAAAGCCTTAAAAACAAGCCAACCTACTGACAATAAAATCAGTAAAACCTCAAAGCATCTTAAGTCTCCCAATTCTCATGGGTACTTACTTAAAATACTCTGTGTCAACTGGATAGTTAATAATGTAAAAAAACAGAGGAATTTCTGCTAGGTTTAGTTTTGTCATCAATGATTAATTATAAAGAATCCAAAGTAGAGGTCTTGGAAGAAGATCTGCATCACAATGACTAAACTATAATTTTTGAGAAGCTATTATAGTACACAAAAGCGTGTATATATGTGTGTGTGTGTGTGTGTGTGTGTGTACTGTGGTTTAAACAGAAGTCAACAAAGGACCTGGAAAATATTTACCATTAAAAGTAAACTCTAGGAAAGAACAATACTCACCAGACTTAAATGGTGTATACTAGCACACAAATAACAGAAATTTTCTGAATTAAACTAGTATTTATTGAGTATCTACAGGCACTGTACCCTCAAGCAACTCTGTGTCTCTCCACGTCTCTAGTCATTCAAACAAATTACTGCAATGTTAGGAACAACACTGAACAAATAACTAAAGTTGAGGAGGATAGATTAAAAAAAAAGAACAAAAAAGGTCCTGCCCAGTTGTCTGTAAGCTACTTGAAAAGAGTTTTAGTATGCACTGCAGCTGGCATGAAACAGAATTCATATCTTTGTAAAACTGAAAGTCTCTAAGCAATTTCATTCATACGAGCTCCATGAAATATACAGAAAATAGAATCTAATTATTAAGGACAAATAACCAAAAAAATTTTGTAATCATGGATCTTTAAAACATGTCTGTGATTCTAAAACAACCTAATATTCATACCAACTTTTACAGCCATGAAACATCAACATAAGGATGTTGGAAAATCATTTAAGATAAATTATCAGGTATTAGCATATTATCTTCCACCTATCGGTTGATGATAGTGAGTTAAATTAAAAACTTTAAAGTATATTGGTAAAATCCTCTTTATCAGCTAAACAGAAAATTTCACAACTATCCTAACATTGAAAAGATAAAATAAATGCATAACCCATAAAGTACTTCTGAGATATGCAAAAACAACTGCTTTTTGTAGAACATTCTTATTGAACAAAGATATTACATATCACCCCCCAAAATTAATAACCAAGAGAATTAGATAAACCTCCTTAAATCATTTAATCTTTAAAAATCTGTATTTTACAGATATTTTAAACCAAAAACAAAATAAAAAGTAAAACAAAATATTTTATCTAAGCATCCAAAAATCATTCAATAGCAGCTTTGCAATTCTCTGAAATGAATATTGCCAATGAAGCTCTAAAGTTAATGCAGAAAAGATTATAAAATCTACAAACTCTTACTTGTCCACAAGAGGGCAAGAAAACATTATTTCATAATTTAAGGCCACTTGCTCCAATATTAACATTCACATTTATATTATGTCTTCTAGTTCAGAAGGTGGACATACTGAATTAATCACTTCAGTAGTTTAAGAAGTGCAAACAAAGAAATGTAATAGAATAGTAAAAGACAGAAGCATTGTAAGATATATAATCTCTAGTCATATTTGCCTAAAAGAAAAAAATAGGAGAAACACAGAAGTCAGCCATGGAAACAACCATTTTTAAAAACTACCCATCTCTACTACAAATGAGATCTAAGAGCTGAGCATGGTGGCTCATGTCTGTAATCCCAGCACTTTGGGAGGCCAAGGCAGGTGGATCACTAGAGGTCAGGAGTTCGAGACCAGCCTGGCCAACATGTTGAAACTCTGTCTCTAATAAAAATACAACAATTAGCAGGGGTGGTGGTGCACGCCTGTAATCCCAGCTACTCAAGAGGCTGAGGCAGGAGAATCGCTCGAATCCAGGAGGCAGAGGTTGCAGTGAGCCAAGATCGCGCCACTGCATTCCAGCCTGGGCAACAGAGCAAGACTTCATCTCAAAAAAAAAAAAAAAGAGCTCTAAGGAAGATAAATATGATACTAAATATTTTCTTCCAGAATCATAATAAATTCATGATGAGTTTATTATGTGCCTTTAGCTGAAAAACTGTATCTGTATATGCTAAGTATTAAATTACTTCATAAATACCTGAGGGTTTTCAAGTATCCTTTTTACTCCCTTAATTAAATTACCAAGGTACTTGGCACGTTCAGGACTGTTAAATAAGGACCTTCTCGTCGAAGCAAACTGAACTAAACATGAAAGTGCCTAAAAAATACCAAAAAAATTTCATTTCAATTTTCAAAGTAACTGTGGCCACATGTAAGGAATACTAGTCTTTACATTTAAAATGAATTTAATCTTAATGCATTATAGAATATAATGCATTATAATGCAATATAAAAAGCATTATAGAACATAAAAATAATAAAAGCTAAATATCATCAACCACTTCCACCACCCACAATCCTTCTACCCCATCATTAAAATTCCTATTTGTATGTGTTTCCCTCCAATGTTCTTTCATTAACAAAATCTGCCAGTTCAAGGCCTGGACATGCTATACATTTAATAGGCTCTCAATTGCTTATGATGCCCAGTTCCATTTTCTAATGAATCAGGTTTTCTACCAAAAACAAAACATGGTTTTGTGGTACAGGCATGTTTGGAAAACAGTGCACATTATGTACTGTGGTATCCAGTGGGAGGGGGTGGGGGAACCTGTAATTTAATCCAGCATATTCCAAATTTAGTTGGTCAAGGAATATTTTACACCATCCATTAGCATCTTAAAAAACAGTCTGAAAATGGTGCTGGAAAAGGTAGGTACTTTATGGTAAGAAAAGAGACAAAAATCAAATGATGCCGTTTTTAGATGTGCTCCAGTTTGCCACAGCCCCTACCGTTAGAACCTAAAACCCAAATTAAAAACAAAAACAAAAAACTCCTTAGAAAACTCAGAAGTACAAGCACCGGAACCACTGGTGTATTAAAAACACCTGGGGCTTGGGGGCAAAAAAGACCTGTGTTTGAAACTCAATGCCAATATCTTCTTTGTTGCCCTGGGGGAAGTCACTTAGTCAATCTGGGTCTGTTTTCTGTTTTTCTGGGTCTACATAGTGGGGATTTTATTATTTATCTTTCAGGGCCACTTTGAGGATTAAGTGAGATGAGTATCACACAATAAATAGGACATGTCCAATAAATGTTCGTTACTATCTCTCAAAGCAGATGTTTTCTACTTTATTTTTTAAGCACTGGTACCTTTTTTGTTTTATCCCAAAACATAATTACATGAAACCATGGTTTTTAAACAACTAAAAGCAAGACTGTTGTGACTGAAAGACAGAAGGCTGTGGCCCCAACTGGAAACATGAGGTACCCTAAGAAACCCAGTTTAAAAAGCACTACCTTAAACTCTAGATTCAAGAGAAGACATGTTTTTTTTTTAAAGGACATTTCTGTGAATGCTTTCCTCCCTTTTAGGCAACAAGATACCTAAACATATATATCACTGATATATACTTTAAATCTGGAATATGTTTTTTCAGAAAATGGCAATATAAGAACTCCCCAGCTTTACTTCTGCAAGTTTAAACATTAAACTTACAATTTTTTAATAACCTTGACATATTTGCTTTAGGCTCCGCAAAGATGGAGCTCAGAGTCTCAAAGTTCTATGTAACTATGGAGTATCAAGAACTTTTTAAGCATGCAATAGAATTTACACTGATTCAAAAAACAAATAAATAACTGGCTTGATGCACACAAGTCAAGTGAGTAGATTCCCTTCCTTTCTTATTCAGAGATCTGAAGGGTACAGCCTTCTGTCAAACCTAAGACATGGACCAGGCAAGGTTGAGGAAGAGTTAAAGAGTAGTAGAAGGGAAAGTTCTTGTGTGGTGGTCAGCTGCTGGACTTAGGCCCTATGGGAACTGAGTAGGAAAAAAATATACATTTAGAGATTGGGAGGTTGTCCTGGCGCTGGGCAAGAGCTAAATTAACAGTTACTGGTTCTAGGCTCACCCATGAAATAAATTTATGTAATGTTGACACAACAAAAATATGACAAATAGTTTAAGCAGTATACATCCCAGAAAATATAAGAACTTATGTGAAATGTAAACTCAATTGAATATATAGACAGAATTTTTGAAGTAAATATATACCACTCCTTATTTAAATTAGATAAAAATCACAGGTATTTTTTAATGAAGTAATGAATGACTTTTACTTACTAACTGAGACAGTAGTGGTGGAAGTGAATGATACAAATTGAAGAAAAGATCCAGTGTTTCTGGTTCCAGGAAAACTGGGGAAAAAAAATATTTTCTAACACCATTACTTTCAATTCAGAGATCTTAACAAAGTAAGACAATATCACACAAACTGAGAAATCCAAGCCCTCTGCATGTGGCCATTCCTTCCAGTTAGGCCTATTTTTAATTCCTAGCTATTTTCCTTTGAAAGCTGAAATAATACAGAGAGAAATTAACTAGTGAGGCTCTTCCTCATTTCTATGTAGCACTACAGTTTGAACTGGAAGAATCTTCTATTTTCATTTGTAATAAAGTAATATAAACATTGAGAATTCAAACAGTATCAAAAAGTAAACAGTACTAAAAAGCTTATAATAAAAAAAAAAACTGTACCCTATTCCATTCCAACTGCTTTTCAACTCTTTTGTTATAGTTACATTCACAATAGCCTATATTATTTCTTCATTTGATTGTTTTACTTTAGATATTTCTTCATTTGATTGCTTTACTTTAGACATCAACTGTAACGCTTTAGCTGTCTAATCACTAATGCCACATCCCTACCACTCTCTCCACAATCAATCCTCTCAAAAACCCATCCACTATCATCACAATTTGTGATTAAATCAATTCTATATGTTTACATGTATTATGACTATGTAAATAATATTAACAGCTGAGCTGTAATTACATCACATTTCTAATACTCACTGGACTTAATCATGGCATCTTTTCTCTGCTTAGTTGTGTATCTGTCACTAATTCTCTCCAAATGCTCTGACAGATTGGCACAATCTTCTTCATGACATGTTCCAAAACATCAATAGCATCAAATAACCCATCATTTGCATTCACCCACCCCTACCTCCCAGAGCCTTCAACGTGAACTGGTTGTTCCTTAACTTTATTGTACAACTGTAGCCTTTTTATGTCTTTCACTGTCATCTTGTGTTCAAGTGCCCATTTCCCAAATTCCATTATCTTCCACTTTCTTTGTTTGTACATCAAATAGCTTCCTGAGAGCAAGTACATAAGGGATAAATTTTGGAAGGACTTGAATATCTGAAAATGTCTTTATTCTATCTTAGATTTGATAAGTTTGGTCTAGTTTGGAAACAATTTTCCCTCAGAAGCCTGAAGATACTACTCTGTTGTCTTCTAGCTTTCAGTGCTGCTGTTGAGAAGTCTAATACCTTCTTGACCCCAATCCTTTGTAGGAGGAGACTTAGACTTACTTTTTTCTTTCTGGTAAGTTTTAGAATTTTTTCTTTATCCTTACTATTCTAAAATGTCATGATTATAAAACTTAGTGAATATCTTTTTTCATTCATTATGCTGGGAACTTGGTGGGATCTTTCCGTTCAAAAAATGCACACGCTTCAGCACTGAGAACATTTTGGGTTACTGTCTGTTGGCAAATTTCCTTCTTTCTCCATCCTCTCTTTCTAGAACTCCTAACCACCACACCTCCTTAATTTCATCTTCTAGTTTTCTTATGTTTTTCCTATCAAACATCTCCTTGCTTTTTTGTTCTACATTCTAGATTGTGTTAACTTTGTCTTACAACTTTTCTACTGGATGTTTTATTTTGGCAACTGTCCTGTAAATTTGGAACATTCTCTGAACAATATCCTGTCCTTGTTTCAGGGATGCATTATCTTATCATCTCTCTGGGCATATTCATTATATCTTTCTGAAGTTTATTTCTACTTTTCACCTTGTCTCTGTTGCTACTAACTACCCTCCATTTTAAAATTAAACTTTTTGAGATAACTGTAGATTCATATGCAGTTGCAAAAAATAATACAGAAAGACACCGTGAACTCCTACCCATTTTCCTACAATGGTAATTTCTTGCAAAGCTACAGTATAATATCTCAACCAGGAAACTCACATTGATACAATCCACAATCTTATTCAGATTTCCCAGTTTTACATCTACTTGTGTGTGTGTAGATCTGTGTGTTTAGTCGGTGAAATTTTTTATTACATGTATTGGTTCATGTTTCCATCATCATAGTCAAGATACAGAAAACAAAGTCCCCTTTTGTTGTTGTAGTCTCTGATCTCCATATTAGAAGTTTTTCACAAAATTAATACTGTTCCTCTATTATATCTGATATCCATGATTATGAGGCCTCTCCAATTTTATTTCTTGAGAAAAAAAAAAACTCTGGTCTTGGAAAGTAAAGTAGAACAGGTAGAGAAAAGGGAGGAAAAGGCAGTCACCTAGCTGCACAGGTGGTAGAGAAGATCCTGGAGAATTTAACTGTTCTGAGTATAGACTTTTTATCAAACCCCGTCAGCCCCGTTTCCCAATTCTGAGTTCAGAGGTACCTTAGGTGCCACCATTTTTCTGGAACGTGGGAGAACAAATTAGCTTCCTTTTTCTTGGTATCCCTTTCTATAAGCAAGTTGCAACTCTGCTCTTCTAGGTCACTTAATCTAATTCATTCTCTTTATAACACTGAAAAAAATGTTGACATCTCTTGACAATTCCTCATACTAAACTTTTCTCTTTCTCATGACGACTCTTCATATTAAACTTTTTTCTTACTTGATATCCAAGTTGTTGAAATCTGCACTGTGCAAAGATCATTTGCAGAATCATCTATTGAACTGCCAAAGAAGTCAAAGTAAAGGCAGTTAAGGACCAGTTTCAAGATCTTCATTACCAGATTTTGCTAACATTGATCCTGAAGGTTTAAAGGTTTGGCCGACACCTGAAAATGATCATAAACAGAGTGGAATCCTGTCCATTTAGCTCTAGTGAGGTCCTTGTTTTTTCTTTTTTCCAAAATCAAAATATGGAGGTTACTATAATACAAATTAGAGAAAACATTTCAATATTAGCCATCAGCAGCTACTTCAGGTTACAAATTCATTTGAGCTCTTTTTTTAATTCCTAGCAAAAAGATAACCATACAGAGAGAAACTATATTGCTTAATACTGTGCCTTTATGTTGATGACCCTTCACACCAAACTTTTTTCTTACTTGTTCTCCAAGTTGTTGGAATCTGCACTGTGCAAAGATCATCTGCAGATTCATCTGCTGAACTGCCAATGAAGTCAAAGTTAAGGCAGTTAAGGACCAGTTTCAAGACCTGCATTACCAGATTTTGCTGACATTGATCCTGAAGATTTAAAGGTTTGGCCAACACCTGAAAAAAGTATAAAATCAAAACACTGTGAAATACATCAATAAATTTACACTTCATGAATTAAAATAATTTTTCAATGTCAAATGAAAACTAGTAAAAGAGTTTACAAAGTTATACTGTTCCATATATGAGGAAGTAATGTTACTTTCTTCAAGAAAAATTGGGTTAACTTCATGCATAAAACAATCACATTCAGCTAATAAAGGCAATCAGAACTCTGAATGTTGGAGGAAACTCACAAAGCTTCTGGAGAACAATCCTATTTCCAAAATAATGCCCATTCTCATACAAACCGAAAACAATTATACCTTTTAGAGATATATTGTGAAATATTTATAGAGGAAATTATATGAAATTTGGGATTCTGCTTGAAAAATAAAGAAGTGGGTAGGTAGAAATAGAGGGCAAACAAGATTGGCCATGAGTTGCTACTGTTTAACTGGCTGATAGCTTAACTGGTTATTCTATCTACTTTTGTGTATGTTAAAATTTTCTATGCTAAAAGGAAAATTTTAAGATAATAGAAGATCCTTGGGTCTGACATAGTGTGGCAGTTGTCATGTTACTATACCAAAGAATTGAAATAATTGGAAACTAGTGCTTATTGGAGCATACTTGCAGAAATGCTATATTATACCAATTATCAGGCTTGAAGAGCATGATGGAGTCCCTATATAACACAAGAGAAGACAGAATCATTATGAATCATGCTATCACTAATATTCAATAGGGCACTAAGTAGCAAATGGGGAAACACTATTTCCCAAAGAAGTTGTTAAAGTCAATGATCTTGGCTAAACTATGAATAAATTTTGATAGTTGATGAATCAGGAAAATATTGTCATTTCATTTTTCATCTGTATCCTTGCAAAATATAAGCAAGCAGATAAAGAAACTAATACTCAATTCGCTTCCGTAATTAAAGAATCTACACTGGGAAGGCAATGAAACTGCTACCTAAAGATAAGTTATTAGATTCCCTTTAGGTTTCACCTTCTCATATGCCCAGTGAGTAAAAGTGAATTTTTTGGAACTGCTTACAGATTTATGCAAATTTACTATACTTAAGTCTGTCCACAATAATTCTTTAGAAGGCAGAACTGGGGGGAAAATCCAACTGAAATTATTTTGAAACTCTTAAAATTTCCCAAATATTCTAACTAGGAAGTTGAATTTGAATTATTAAATAACTTACCTCTTTTAAAAGAGAGCATGCTAGCACTAAAATGTCTTTGAGAGAAGTATCACGAAATGAGGTAGCTATTTTCCTGTGTTTTGCTGAAGGTCTAGAATAATCAACCTAAAAAGATAAAGATGAAATTAGTTTAACCAGACCTATGAAAAAGCAAAGCAAAATTTATTTAAAAAAAAAAAAAAAGGAAATAAACTTGAGTAGAACCCAAGTTTCTAGACTGTTTTAATTTAATGTTCTTCCTACAACCCAATTCTAAAAACCAAAGTGAATCACACTTTCAGAGGCAGTATACAGATTACAAAATAAAAATAGATACTAAGACTATTAACTCCTGAACCATGTACCATATTTTACACCATGCAGTAACAACTTCCCTGTTCCTCACATTCCACCTGTAAAATGAGAAATCTCCAAGACAATCTCCAAATTCTAACTTTGTCTATGAATAAGCAAACTGAATTAGCCACAGAAAAATTCTTCTAGTTGAAAGTGATATTCCTATATATACCATATATGTCATTGGTTCATATATCTTTGATACTATGAAAACAAGGCAGAAATTATAAATAATCAGAAATCTGATTTATTATATAAGAAATAGTATATTCCCTCTGAATACTTTATTAGCTAATGACAAATAATTTTTAAGACTAAACTAAGACTAGCTATTAGGCCTCTAACCTAAAATGTAGTATATTCAAAATTATACTATTAATACCATTAATATTTCCATTTATCAATAGAAAACAGGCAAAGCTGAAGTCTGACACTCATACTAACATTAACACTATGGTCTACAGTTGCTATAGCATTACTATTTATTTTTATTGCTATGTGGAAGAAGAAAACAAACCATTTTCTTTGCTAGTGTTTATAGATCGGAAAGAAGCAACGGGCTCAAAACTGATTATGTGATACCTCCTAAGCTCCAACATATAATTTAGATTATACTCAATTGCCATATTTCCTTATAAAACATGAAACATAACAGAAGGCCAAATGATTACACAAAGTAGTTATGGAACCTATACCCAATGTGTAAGATTTAAATTAGCATTTTCAGTGTTCCTAATTTTTTTTTTCAACTTTCATTTTAGCTTGTGGGGGTACATGTGTAGGTTTGCTGCCTGGGTACACTGCATGTTGCTGAGGTTTGGGGTATGAATGATCCTGTCACCCAAAACTTAGTTTTTCAACCTTTACTCCTTTCTATCTCTCCCCTGTCTAGTAGTCCCCAGTTTCTATCGTTGCCATCTTTATGTCCACGAGTATCTAGTGTTTAGCTCCCACTGGTAAGTGAGAACATGTGGTATTTGGTTTCCTGCTCCTGCATTAATTTGCTTAGGATAAGGGCCTCCAGCTGCATCCATGTTGCTGCAAAGGACATGATTTCATTATTTGTTATGGCTGCATAACATTCTATGGTATACGCGTATTTTCTTTGTCCAATCCATCGTCAGTGGGTACTAAGGTTGATTCCATGTCTTTGCTGTTCTGGATAGTACTGCAATGAACATGTAAGTGCATGTTTCTTTTTGACAGATTTGGGTTTTGGGGGATATATACTCAGTAATAGGATTGCTGGGTTGAATAGTAGTTCTATTTTAAGTTCTTTGAGAAATCTCCAAACTACTTTCCACAGTGGCTGAACTAATTTACATTCCCACCAACATAAGAGTTTCCTTTTCTCCACAGCCTTGCTAGCATCTGTGGCTTTTTGACTATTTAATATTGGCCATTCTGACTGGTGTGAGATGGTATTTCATTGTGGTTTTGATTTGCATTTCTATGATGATTAGTAACGTGGAACATTTCTTCATGTTTTTTGGCCACTTGCCTTCTTTTGAGAAGTGTCTGTTCACGTTTTCTGCCTATTTTTAATGCCTCTCTTGATCAATTTAAATCAAGTCTCAAAGTCTGTCTCTCCTACAACACTTTCCCCAATATATAAAAATATTTTTCCTTAATACAAATTAAAAGCAAAGAGCATTATAATTGCAATTTATAAAGTATTCTTCACATATTATTTCGCTTATTCTTTCAAACTAATCTGTGAGACACATTTTATCTTTTTAAAACACGAGTTTTGAAATAAAGGATGATTTTAAAAGATGAGAAATTCAAGTTTACAGGCACACTATCTTAGACTAACTTCTCACTCTTATCACATCCATAATATGGAAAGAAACTTAGGTGCACTGAGCACTTTCTACACACTAAGTCCTGTGCAAGTTAATATAATCTTAGTAAGATCCATGTAAGTAGTTGTCATTCTCACTTTACAGGTAAATATGTAAGTTTTAAAGAAGCTAAGAAGTTTGTAAAAGGTAAAAATAGAGCAAAAATACCACTCCACGTCTTATCCCAGAGTTATATTAAAGGACTGCATGCTTATTTCACTTGGGTTACTCATTTAGATATCCAATCTTTTGAGAAGAAGGATTGCACATCCATTTTCTATTGCATATATATGCCTCTACCTCGGAGGCACGGGATGTTTTACTTCTTAATGACTAGATAGCGAATATACTCCAGGAACAGAAACTCTAGCTTCTAAAACGGCAGGATATCTTATATAATCCTCCTAACTTTTAGGAAAACTCAAGCATAGATCCTATTCTTAAAAGACACATCCTGTTATGGATACTACATGAATTTATCTGGCTCATATCTGATAACCAGAATATTTAATTATCCTCATGCATTATAGATCTCCCTACTTCCTGGTTCAGAAATGCTTAATAAATGCTAGCTGAAATTGTAAATGTCATAAAATTAGGCTGAATGAAATGTCTCCACAGAAGCCATATATATTTTTCACCATATAAAGCCAAAATCACACTTCAGACCTTAAAGCTTTTCTTAAAAGGTGCCTGGTTCAACGCAAGAAAAGCTTGGACTATCTTGTGCCAGAAGGTAAGAAAGAACCCAAAGAATGGTGAGGAAATGTCAATGGACACAAAGATCAGCTTGAAAAAGGTCCTATTGGTCAAATCTTGGAAAATCTGGGCAACAAAACAAATAATGTTAGCAATGAATTATAACGTATTAAATAAAATGAAACAAGGAATCCATACTAATACAAATTAACAAATCAGTAAGTTGAAAGTCTGATAAGGAACAAAATATTTTCAGAGACTTCAGTACCTTTTCATAAAATATGTATTAATTACAACAGGGAAAAGAATAAGTCTACAATGGGGGAGCCCAGAGGAGTTCATCTTAATTAAGAGATCAAAGTGAACATCATCAGTAATGCGACAAATCATCACGTGCTTCCTGATAGGAGGCAATGAGATGGCCACAGTATCATTTCTGTGACATTCCTGACAAATTCACATAAGCCGAATCTAATAATGTGGAAACAGACAATCCCAAATTGAGGGACGTTTTACAAAACAACTGGCCTATAATCTTCATAAATGTCAAGGCCATGAAAGTGAAAAAGATTGAGAAATTCTTCTCCAGTTTGAAGGAGACTAATAAAACAGAAGAACTAAATGTGATACACAATCCTAAACTGGTTCTTTTGCTAGAAAGAGTGTTTTGAGGATAACCGGTGAAACTTGAATGGGGTATGAGGATTAGATAGTGGGAATAATTCCAGTGTTCATTTTCTGATTTTAACATTGTATTGTGGTTATGTAGAAGAATGTCCTTGTGTGTAGGAAATACACTAAATTCCCTGGTGGTGGAGAACCATGTCAGCAACTTAGTGCCAAATAGTTGAGAAAAAACTTCTCTGGACTATACTTACAACTTTTCTGCAAGTTTGCTAGTTTAAAAAAAGGAGCTAACCTATTGCTCTCTAAACTACACATTTACCAGAACTTCACATTAACTAGTCTTATTTCAGTGATACTCTAAACACAGCAAACTCTCATTTTCAGAGCAGACTATTTTCCTATTATGCTGAGAAGCAGGAAATGAATCAAACTGCTAGTTTCAAAATTAGCAAAAAGTTGTAAAATGAAGATGACAAGTACATGAGATTATCATACTATTCACTTTTATGAAAATATTTAAATGTAGTTTTTTTGGAAGGAAGCTACAGTTCTTCAGACATATTTAGAGTTCAATAAGATTATCCCTGTCATAACATCCCTGCCAACATAGTATTATTAATAGACACCTATGTACACACAAACACACAGCACATACTCTGGGGTGGAGGAGTCAGGAAGGTGACAGCCATGATAAGTTAAGAGATCACTTTAAATTTTAGAAATCCATCCTATAAATCTAAAAATATTTTCTAATTTCTGATTGAACACAGGAAGAAAATGGTTCTTTTGTATTTTTTTATGCACATGGCTATATTGTTACTCCAAAGGGAGCTGGCAAGTGATCCTGGGTATGCAAACTCTTCTACATATATACATCTATATGTGTGCATGGACATGCATGCACACACACAAACACGTACCACTGAAGATGACAGTTTTTAAACACTACTTTACTCTTTATTATAAAATTATTCCACATAGAACGCAACTTCTGCTTTCATTCTGTTTAGAACCATGTTATGTGCAAACGAACAGGTGATAACATGTTCAGATCATAAAAGCACTGTTGGGGAGAAGTACAGCTTCTGAAAACTCCCCCTGTACAGGGTAAAAATCCAAGCTAGGAGCCATAAAGTGAAAAAAGGCCTGTTTTGTTTTTTAATATAAACATTTATTATTATAAAATCAACTGGTTTGATAAGTAATTATTTAAAAAATGTAATACCAATACATGTTAAGTATACAAATTAGAATTCTTTTGAACAAACAAGTTCTTATCTAAAGAAGAAACAAAACCTCCTTAATAGTTGGAATAAAATCTATCCCTGAATAGTTAGTGGATATTACACAGAAATATTTATATTATATTCCTCTACTCCCAGTACCTATTTTTACAGAATCAGGAGAATTTAAATAGAATATCAAAATATAAATGATAAATATCTGTACAATATTTTTATCGAAGACACGACTATCAGTGCATAAATGCCTAAATAAGAGGTTACAAATATGACATAATACGGAAGAACTCAATTCTCTCAATTTTAGAAAGGGGGACTTTTCTGAGGACAAATGTCTGAAGTTCAGGTACTACGATTT